GCTGGCTCATGCCTGTAATCCCAGCGCTTTGGGAGGCCAAGATGGGAGGATTGCTTAAGGCCAGGAGTTCGAGATGAGCCCCAGCAACATAGTGAGACCCTGCCTCTACCAAAAAAGTAAAAATAAACGTTTAGTCAGATGTGGTGGCACATGCCTGTAGTCCTAGCTACTCAGGAGGCTGAGGCAGCAGGATCATGTGAGCCCAGGAGTTTGAAGCTGCAGTGGTCCCACTGCATTCCAGCCTAGGCAACAGAGCAAGACCTTATCTCCAATAAATACATAAATAGTAAAGGCATAGGATAATTATAAAGGTTGCTGAGAATTTTTCATATTGACCTTTCCATCGCATTCTTTCCAGTTCCTTTTTCTTTTCTTCATGTGTCTGGAGCAGCCCACGTTGCCACAGAGAACTTGGCTGTTCTGAAACAATGCTGAGTGAAGGCAAAGTGCTGTTTCGATGGTCTTTCATGCCCAGCAATAATGGTTCACAGGATAATGTTGATAGTAGGAGCTCAGAGAAGTTAAGTAGCTAAGTAGCCCAAGGTCTTACAGTTACTTTAAGAGCTGGGCTTTGAACCCAAGTCCAGCTTTTTTTTTTTTTTTTTTTTGAGACAGAGTTTCGCTCTTGTTACCCAAGCTAGAGGGCAGTGGCCCAGTCTCGGCTCACTGCAACCTCCACCTCCCAAGTTCAAGCGATTCTCCTGCCTTAGCCTCTCAAGTAGCTGGGATTACAGGCGCTTGTAACCACGCACAGCTAATTTTGTATTTTTAGTAGAGCCAGGGTTTCTCCATGTTGGCCAGGCTGGTCTCGAACTCCCCACCTCAGTTGATCTGCCCTCCTCAGCCTCCCAGAGTGCTGGGGTTACAGGCGTGAGCCACTGCGCCCAGCCTATACTGGCTTTTTAAAGTACCTGTGTATATGTAGATGTGCTTAAACAAGCTAAAAGAGCAGATATCAAATTATTAATACTGCTTAACTGTGGATGGCCATATCATTGTTTATAAAGTTTTATGTTCTTTTTCCCTTCTCTGTATTTTCTGAACTTGCTGCAATGAGCATGTATGTTTTTAACTTTTTTTTTTTTTTTTTTTTTTTTTTTTTTTTTTTTTTTGGAGATGGAATTTCGCTCTTGTCACCCAGGCTAGAGTGCAGTGGTGTGATCATGGCTCACTTCAGCCTCCATCTCCTGGGCTCAAGCAATCCTCCCACTTCAGCCTCCCAAGTAGCTGAGACTACAGCTGTGCAATATCACACCCAGCTAATTTTATTTTTTTGGTAGAGATGGGGTTTTGCCATGTTGTCCAGGCTGGTCTCAAACTCCTGGGCTTCCAATAATCCACCCACCTTGGCTTCCCAAAGTGCTGTAATCATAGATGTGAGCCACCACACCTGGCCCCAGTGAACTCTTAACTACTTAAATTTTGTGTAGATCTTGAGCCACCTGAGGGTGTTTAAATCCTGGGTATGACCAATGATTAGGCTCCTCATATAAGGAGGGGGGTGGAAGAGCATCAGGCAGCATTTCCACACCATTGTTCTTTGCTGTGGATTTGCATGAAAGGAGACAGATTTCATAAGCTTTGCATTAGCTTGAGGCTGCTATGCCAGAGGAGAAAGTGGGTGGGGAAAATAATAAAACTTTAAAGTCATAGGAGATGGCTGGGTGTGGTGGTTCATGCCTGTAATCCCAGCACTTTGGGAGACTGAAGCAGGCAGATCACTTGAGGTCAGGAGTTCAAGACCAGCCTGACCAACATGGTGAAACCCCCTCTCTACTAAAAATTTAAAAAATGAGCTGGACGTGGTGGTGGGCACCTATAATCCCAGCTACTCGGGAGGCTGAGGCAGGAGAATCACTTGAACCCAGGAGGCGGAGGTTGCGGTGAGTCAGAATCATGCTACCGCATTCCAGCCTGGGTGACAGAGTGAGACTCCATCTCAAAAAAAAAAAAAAAGTTGAAGGAGACATTACCGGTGATCTTAACTAGCCCTAGGGCCATTTAGTAACTTGCCTGAAGTCCGTTCCTGTGTAGTGATAGAGCTGGAGTCTACAAAACTTAGCCGGGTGTGTGGTGTGCACCTGCAGTCCCAGCTACTCAGAAGGCTGAGGCAGGAGGATCAGTTGAGCCTGGAGGTCGAGGCTGCAGGGAGCCGTGATCGTGCCACTTTGCTCTAGCCTGGGCAACAGTTAGACTCTGAGTCAAAAAAAAAAAGTGGCGGGGGGCAGGGAGAGCTGGGGCCAAACCCAAGGCTCCTGGGTTTTCCACGCCACTGTTAACTGACACCAGCAGGTCTGTCTGAAGGAACTCACTTTGGCACTCACATCTCACTGTCTCCTGAATCCTCCTTCGCTTCTTGCTAGAGGTCCACCTTCTTTCCATCCTCCTGCAGCAGAAAATGACAGTTCCCATAACCAAGAGCATCCCAGGCAGCTTGGGGAGTCTGTATTTGGAGGAGGGAGAAGGAACACAGGAAACTAGATCTATAGATGGCCATAACTTGTAATGATCCAACTTAATGATTTTTTGACTTTACAATGGTACAATTGACATACGCAGCCAGTAGAAATCATTTGGTTTTTCACTTTTAATAAAGTATTAAGTAGATGACACGAGAGATTCAACACTTTATTGTAAAACAGAACTTGTGTTAGAAGATTTTACCCAACTGTAGGGTAATGTAAGTGTTCCGAGCATGTTTAAGGTAAGCTAGGCTAAGCTATGCTGTTCAGTAGGTTAAGTGTGTTAAATGCATTTTGACTTATGATATTTTCAATTTATGATGGGTTTACCAGAACACAACCCCATCATAAGCCGAGGCACTTCTGTACTAGATTAAAAAGTGTTTGAGGAACAGCGGATTAAATGATGCTTCCAGTGTTCTGTCCTACCTGGGAAAGTGGAGGCCAAACGGTGAAGCAGAGCGGGGTCTTGTTTATTCCAGGCCTCCTGCCTCGGTGCACAGAGGATCTGAGAGGAAAGCTGACTGACACCAGTAGGTCATGAGGATGCCACTTGTTTATATTTCAAATGCATTCCATTCTGTGTCTCACTTAGGACCAGTTGGCAGCCCTGTGTCCCAAGACTGGGCCGCCTCTGGTGAATTTTCCTGAAACCGAAGTGTCATTGGATTCTTTCTGGTGCCGGATGTAGGCAGCACTGCCTCTTTTAGAAACTACGTGGACACTTTGAACTGTGCTCTTGCAAGCCAGTGCCAGAAGAATGGCATTTGCAGGGCCTGGTAAACTTGGGAGAAACTTTCTGATGTTTTTATGAAAGGCATGTTTTGCTCTGAAGTCAGAGTGTGTGTTCTGGCCAATGTAGCTCGCATAGATCTGTTTTCTCCGCATGCACCAGGCCCCAGAGGAGACATTGACTAGATAGCCAGTGTCTCATTTTGCTTGTGGTGGGCATAGGATGGTGAAAACGGAGGGAGGAAGGAGTACAGGGACAAGATATTTAAATGGTCCATAACTTGGATTTTTGACTACGATGGTGCAAATGGCATACTCAGCCAGTAGAAGTCATTCTGTTCTTCACTTTCAGTACAGGATTAGGTAGATGGTATGAGAAATCCAACTAGATAGCCAGTGTCTCCTTTTGCTTATGGTGGGCATGAGAGGGTGGAGGAGGGAGGAAGGAGCACATAGAACTCTGCATGCAATGTTGTAAGGGCCTCATTGTCAGGGTTTATAAATGCCACGTTTCCTTCTTTCTAAACTGCTTTACATCAGGTATAAAGCTTTTAAGATTAAGAAACACCTAAAGATGTGTGGTGGGACCGGGTGCGGTGGCTCATGCGTGTAATCCCAGCACTTTGGGAGGCCTAGGCTGGCTGATCACCAGGTCAGGAGATTGAGACCATCCTGGCCAACATGGTGAAACCCCATAGTATTTAGTCTACTAAAATACAAAAAAACAAGCTGGGCATGGTAGTGCGTGCCTGTAGTCTCAGCTACTCTGGAGGCTGAAGCAGGAAAATCACTTGAACCCGGAAGGTGGAGGTTGCAGTGAGCCAAGATCGCGCCATTGCACTCCAGCCT